GCTCAAGTGGTAGAGTGCTCGCCTTGAGCTGAAGAGCTGAGGGACAGCGCCCAGGCCCAGAGTTCAAGCCCGACGGCCGACAAAAAAAAAAAAAAGTGGCTCCATTTGTATAATAGTATAAAATTTTCTATATTTGTAACTTGCTTGTATCTCTATTTACAAATACATGTGTGTATATATATGTATATATATTCAGTCAAAATAATAAGGTTCTTATGTGATTGTTTTCCTGAAAATATGAATTTATAGGAGTTAGTGAAATTTCACAGTTTGATACTAAGTTTCCTATTTGGAAATTGCTGTAGTCATATAACTTTGTTTAATAACCATATAACAATAATCATCATAGTTGGATATAGTCTAAATAATGCTCTGTGTGTGTTTCATTTTAAATAGGGATAGAGCTCCTTTTGTGCTTACCTCTGATATGGCATATGTCATTAATGGGGGTGAAAAGCCTACCATACGTTTCCAGTTGTTTGTGGATCTCTGCTGTCAGGCCTACAACTTGATAAGAAAGCAGACCAACCTCTTTCTTAACCTACTTTCACTGGTAACTTTCTTTATAACAGTTACTTAATTGTATATTAGTATATATTTCAGTACTTTAAGAGGATATGAAAAGTATGAACCATCAGATCCATTTATATAAAATACAAACAATAAATCCAGAGTAGTGACCCTGGGGGAAGAGAGTAGTAACTAAAGCCTAAGGAAAGCATCTAGGATGCTATTGAACAGTTGTGGCCCAATTTGGTTATCTTCAGATTGTGAACATTCATTAAATTGTATATGTAGTGTTTTTATACTTTCTGAGATATGTTATAGTTAAAAAGAACAAAAACAAAGTAAAAAATAGGATTATTGTGACTGAAATTGCTGTAAAAAACAGAAACGTAGGCAAGGAGGGCTGTATTTCACACCTTTATTCCATAAATGAGTTTTATAATTTTCAACAAGTCACTTACCTTCTTTGGCCTCAATTTTCTCATTTAAAGAGTCACTTAGGTCCTCAAAACGCTAGCAAACTCTTCAAAAGTGTAATTATATTTTTTTCCCCTTTAGTCTAATTTCTTGATCAGCAGAAAATTTAACTCACAAAGCTTTTTTCCCCCCTCCTTCTATAGATGATTCCTTCAGGTTTACCAGAGCTAACAAGTATTCAGGATTTGAAATACGTTAGAGATGCACTTCAACCCCAGACTACAGATGCTGAAGCTACTATTTTCTTTACTAGGTATGTCATAATTAAATACACTGTTGAGAAGTCATGTACCAAATTCAAGTCTACCAGTAGCACGAAAAATAATTTTATTTATTGAATAACTATTGAAGTAATATTTACTAAAAAATATTTATAAAAGATTTTCAGCTGAGTGCTAGTGGCTCTTGCCTGTAGTCTTAGCTACTCATGAGGCTGCGATCTGAGGATTGCAGTTAGAAGCCAACCCTGGGCAGGAAAGTCTGTGAGACTCTTTATCTCCACTAAACTGTTACTACATGAAGTCATACATGGTATTTGCATTTTGTTTTTTTCCATACCTGGAGCTTGAACTCTGGGTCAATGAATGTGCTGTCCCTGAGCCTCTTTGTAGTCAAGGCTAGCACTCTACCACTTGAGCCATAGCACCACTTTGTGCTTTTTCTGAGTAGTTGATTGGATATAAGGATTTCACAGACTTCCCTGTCCAGGTGGGCTTTGAACCATAATCCTCAGATCTCAGCCTCCTGAGTATACTTGCAGCTTTTTTTTTTTTTTGGTCATGGGGCTGACTCTGGGCCTGGGTGCTATCCCTGAGTTCTTAAGCTCAAGTTCTTAAGCACTCTCCCACTTGAGCCACAGCACCACTTCCACTTCAGCTTTTCTTAGTAGTGTGTTGAAGATAAAAGTGTTATGGACTTTTCTGCCCAGTCTGGCTTTGAACCACAATCCTCAGAGCTCAGCCTCATGAGTAGCTAAGATTACAGTGAGCCAGTGATAACCAGATGCTGTTACTGTTTTAAAAACAGATCTTCAGCTGGGTTCCAGTAGCTCACACCTATAATCTTAGCTACTAAGGATGGCTGAGATCCTAGGATTGTGGTCTGCAGCCAACCCTGGCAGCAAAGTTCCTAAGACTCTTACTTCCAATTAACTCAGGGACAGTGTCCAGGCCCTCAGTTCAAGCCCCAGGACACACACACACACACACACACACACACCCCAGGACACACACACACACGCCGCAGGACACACACGCACACACACACACACCAGATCTGCACTATTCACTTTACTACTGCCACACGCCCCAGGACACACACACACACACACACACACCCTAGGACACACACACACACACCCCAGGACACACACACACACACCCCAGGACGGACACACACACACACACACACACCCCAGATCTGCACTATTCACACCCCAGGACACACACACACACGCCGCAGGACACACACACACACACACACACCCCAGATCTGCACTATTCACTTTACTACTGCCACATCATCAAAATATCACAGCAGGGTGAGACACATGAGCTTTTTTGAGGGGAGGATTGGAGCTTGGTATGTGTGCACCCCCCAATACTCTGGTTTGAATTCAGGACATTGCACTCTCAACTTAGCTTTTTCACTCATGGCTGGCAGTCTACCACACCTCTACTTCCAACATTTTGCTGGTCAATTGGAGGTAAGAGTCTCATGGACTTTTGTGTCCAGGCTGGCTTTGGAGCTTGATCCTCAGATCTCAGCCTCCCCTGAGTACCTTACCCTGCGCATTCTCCTCCTCCCCCCCAAATGGTGCTGGGAATTTAGCCCAGGGCTTTGTCCTTGCTAGGTAACTGTTCTACCTCTGAACTATAGCCCCAACCCTTACTTTGTTTCTTAGATTTCTTGTTTAGTTTGCTTACCCAAATGTTTTATCTAGGTCTACCTTTATATCTCTGCTGAACTTTACATCCTATCCAAACTTTTTTCTCTGACTGAAACAATGATTATCTGAAGACTAGCACCAAATTCTTCTCTATTTCGTAGAGTATTTTAAATTTGAATTTTTATAATGTCTTTTTATTACATTAATCATCTTTATTTCTAATAGTTCTTTAACTTCTTAGATTCTTTATGGCTCCAGAAAACTCCGTATCTTTTTTTTTTTTTTTCTGTGCTAAAATGTTTGATGCTGGGGTGAAGTGTATTTTGAGAGGTCTTGGGCTTAAAGAACAAAGAGAATCCTTGCTTGTCAGGGTAAGAATCTGCTTAATATTTTAAAAGGCATGAAAGTATTTTCCATCTTTTATTATCGTGAAATTTAGCATGTGTCCCCATGAGATACATGATTTTCTGATAACAAGTTTTCTGATTATTTTGCAGGCTAATTGAGTCAAGTTTGGGAAGCATTGCCACAAAGTTTAACTTCTTCATTCACAACCTTGCTCAGCTGCGTTTTTCTGGTCTCCCTTCTAATGATGAAGCCATTCTTTCATTTTCACCCAAAACATACTCCTTTAGACAAGATGGTCGAATCAAGGAAGTCTCTGTTTTTACATACCATAAGAAATACAACCCAGATAAACATTATGTAAGTTTGGTTTAAGTATTTGTCAACAGTGGTGCATATGTTACTTCAGATGTCCTTTGCTGACTTCTAAAGTTCTAGGCATTTGTTGTATTTGTGCTTGCTGCTCCTGTGGATCTCAAATATAAGTAAATGAAGTTTCTCTATTTGTTTTGTATTTATTATTAAATTTGCTTTAAAACTATGAGGGCCAAAATATATCCTTCTTTCAGAGTCAAGGCATATTACTGTTTTCTGATTCCTTCACTGTTTTTCTTAGTTACAAGGTAAAGCCTGCTCACTATAACAGATTCAAAAAATATAATTCAAAATGTCTTTAAACTTCTGGGCCATGATTGTGCATGCATGCCTGTGGTCCTAGCTACTCAGGAGACACAGAGATAGGAAGATTATAGTCTGAGGCCTGCCTGGGCAGTTAGTGCAAGACTGAAAAATTAAAAGCGTAAGATTTGGGGTGTAGCTTGAGTGTAGGGTAAGCATAAGGTTCTGCATTCTCTGTGCTGTCCCCACCCCCAAAGTTTTTAGCTCCCATTCTACTCTTCAGTAAAGTATTATAATGTGCATGTGCGCGCGTACACACATGCATGCACCCAAAGTACAAAGTTTATAAAGAAAAATAAGCCAGGTGCAAGTGGTTTAAGCCTGTATTCCCAGCAACTTGGGAAGCTCAGTTTTGAGGATTGAGATTCAAAGCTAGCTCAGGTAGGAAAGTCTGTGAGCCTCTTATTGGCAAGTAATCCCCAAAAAGCCAGAAGTGGAACTGTATCTCAATGGATAGAATGCTAACCTTGAGCACAAAAGCTCAGGGACAGAGCCAGGCCCTGAGTTCAAAAACCCCAGGACCATCACCAAAGAAAAAAAAAAGTTTTATTTCTCTACTTGATACCATAAAATTACCATCTTCCTTGCTGTAATTTTTCATCCTGTGCTGTTTTTTCCATTTATTTAATGCTGGGGATCAAATCTATGTTCTCATGCATGCCATGAATATCACTGAGCTATAGTTGCAGCCATGTACCAATATTTTTGTTGGGAAATACTTTTTAGGATTACAAGATTTTTTTTTAACATTTGATGAGTTCTAGTAAGCAATTTCACTTTCATTTTAGCCATTTAATTAGTAATTTATTCTGTATCCAGTGCCTTATAATTATACCTTTAAACAAACTAAGGCTCTGGGCACTGGTTGCTCACACCTGTAATCCTAGGTAGTCGGGAGGCTGAGATCTGAGGATGGTGGTTTGAAATCAGTTCTGACAGGAAAGTCTGAGACTCTTCAATTAATCACAGAAAAGCTAGAAGTGCTCTGTGGCTCAAGTGGTAGAGTGGTAGCCTTGATCAAAAAGGAGCTCAGGAACAGTGCCCAAGCCCAGAGTTTGAACCTAGGACCAGCAAAAAAATAATAAATTTATATATATTCCTAAATTTACTTCTGGTTTTCCATGGATATATCTGATTCTTTCTGTACCACTACTGTGCTTTTTAAAGTGTTTAAAGTAGTTTAAGTTACTAGTAAAACAGATTTACTCCCAATTGAGAGCCCATTTTGGGGAAGAGGGGGTCCTTTTTCCTATTTGCTTTCTTAAATGAACTACTTATATTTTTACTGTTTTCACTGGGAATGTAACAAGTTTCCCAATTTGGAAAGTATATTTAATCTTAGAAATAAGATCACCTTTACTTTCAAGTTTTTATTTATATATTTTAAAATAGTTTGCTTTTATGATATATGCTAGAAATACAATGACATATTTGTTGTTTTCTATCAGTTACATACATTACAAATTAAAAGCACTCGAATTAAGACATATTATTAATTTAATGCACTTCTTATGTGATTTATTTTCAGATTTATGTTGTCCGAATTTTGAGGGAAGGACAGCTTGAACCATCATTTGTATTCAGGACATTTGATGAGTTTCAGGAACTTCACAATAAACTCGGTATTATATTTCCACTTTGGAAGTTACCTGGGTATGTTCCTATCCTTGTGCAAATTAATGTTGTTTTTACATATAGGAAAACAATCCTCAGATGTAGAATATTTTCTGTTAATCCTAAGACATTTGCTTACACTTCATAAAGGTGTAATTTAGAACTAAAGAACTGAAAGTTTTTATTGAGTCAGAAATGAATTTGTGATTAAAATTTTAAATTGTGGAAGAATTCTCCTGATTCCTAATTTTAGTTGAAACGTTGGCTTTGTTTTCTCTATCAGAGTAAGCAGGACAGATAATTTGGAATATTAGTTTAAAAGTTGAAATGCTGGGCTGGGAAGGTGGCTCAGTGATAGAGCGCTTGCCTTGCATGCCTGAGGCCCTGGGTTCGATTCCTCAGTACCACATAAGCAAAAAGAAAAAAGCCGGAGGTGGCGCTGTGGCTCAAGTGGTAGAGTGCTCGCCTTGAGCTGAAGAGCTGAGGGACAGCGCCCAGGCCCAGAGTTCAGGCCCCACGGCCGGGCCCAAAAAAAAAAAGTTGAAATGCTAGGACTTGAAGGTATGGCTTAGTACAGTGCTTGCCCTAGCACATGTGATACCTTCAAAATCACATACACAATCACTGCATAAGTAACCTAGATAGGCCATATTAAGCCCTTCTGATAAACATATTGAAGCAGATATTACAGGCTGTTAATTAGAATCTTAATGCTTTGCTTTCTCTCTGATAACATCTTTGGAAACCCTCGCTTTTACTGTAGCTTAGTGATAAGCAAATTTCTTGTGTCATGTTGTTCATATCCTTTCCAGACAAGATCCCAAAAGTAAGGAGACAAAGTAGGTATTCAAATTTGTTTCACCTGAACTTATAATATATTAAGACTGTACTTTGTCTCTTAAGTGTGAAGAATGTTTCTAAGGAAATATTGTGTATGATTCTATACTTTTAGATGAAATGATTTAAATCCCACTTTTTGTTTCATTTTGTAGCTTTCCTAATAGGATGGTCCTAGGAAGAACACACATAAAAGATGTAGCAGCCAAAAGGAAAATTGAGTTAAATAGTTATTTACAGAGTTTGATGAGTGCCTCAACAGATGTAGCAGAGGTAACCTTCCTATATACCTTATGGTACCTTTTATGCTACATAATGCTTAAACTAATCGTTCTTTTTTCTCTTCCATTTTAGTGTGATCTTGTTTATACTTTTTTCCACCCCTTACTTCGTGATGAGAAAGCTGAAGGGATAGCTAGGTCTGCAGGTGAGGTTACTTTTTTTCTCTTTATTAATAGTTCATGCCCTACAAGTCTTAAGCTTTTAATGAATGTGGTAGAGTAGCAATGGATTTACTGACTACAGTCAGTAAACTTATCTGCCCACATAACACATCTTTCCCTACAGAGCTCTTGGAAATAAAGCAAAATTTCTTCTGTTGCAGCTTGAATCAAAGCAGACAGAATGAAATAAAGTATTTATATTTTCAGGTGCAGGTCCCTTTAGTCCTACACCAGGCCAAATAGGAGGAGCAGTGAAGTTATCTGTTTCTTACCGAAATGGGACTCTCTTCATTATGGTGATGCACATCAAAGATCTCGTGAGTGATTATAAAATAATGACTGTACAGGGAACCTAGACCTTGGTAGGAAGCATTATGATTAAGTAAATGCTTTTCCTTGTAGGTTACTGAAGATGGAGCTGACCCAAACCCCTATGTCAAAACATACCTTCTCCCAGATACTCATAAAACATCTAAACGTAAAACCAAAATTTCACGAAAAACTAGGAATCCAACATTCAATGAAATGGTAGGTTACAGTTATTCCTAACATTTTCCTAGATTTGTTATTTTGAGATTTTAGACTTAAAATATTTTAAATGTAACATTTTTAGACTCTAGTTGCTGAACTATTTATTTCTCAAAGCAACTCAGTTTAGGGGCTGGGAAGGTGGCTCAGTGGTAGAGCGCTTGCCTTGCATGCATGAGGCCCTGGGTTCGATTCCTCAGCACCACATAAGCAGGAAAAAAAAAGAGCCAGAAGTGGTGCTGTGGCTCAAGTGGTAGTGCTAGCCTTGAGCTGAAGAGCTGAGGGACAGAGCCCAGACTGAGTTCAGGACCACGACCAGACTCTCCCCCCCCCCCCCCCCCCAAAGCAACTCAGTTTAAACCCCATGGGATTTAATGAAGTGACATAGGATAGAGCCTTCATAGACCTTTAACTTTTTTCCTCTTTTTTTTGGGAGGGGGGGTCAGTTGTGGGCCTTGAACTCAGGGCCTGGGTGCTGTCCCTGAGCTCTTTAGCTCAAGCCTACTGCTTTCCCACTTTGAGCCACAGAGCCAATTCCAGTTTTTGGGTAATTGGAGGGATTTTCCTATCCAGGTTGGCTTTGAACCACGATCTGACCTTTAACTTAAAGACATTAAGAGCAGGATAGTGGCCAGTGAAGATGCAATCTGCCAAGGAGTATGTTTGCAACTCACCTGCTGCTAAATCAAGTAGGTGGTGATAAAAGAAAAAAGATATTAAGAGCCATGATTCAAGGCAGGCACCAGTACCTCATACATGTAAGCATAACTTCTCCAGAAGGTAAGATCTGAGGGTCACAGTTCAAAGCCAGTGTGAGCAGAAAAATCCATGAAACCTTTATCTCCAGTTAACTGCAAAAAGTCAGAAATGGACATGTGGCTCAGATGGTAGAGTACTATCATTGAGCAGAAAAAGCCAAGCAAGAGTTTAAGGCTCTGAATTCAAGTGCTATATGGCGTGCGTGTGTGTCATACACACAAATACACACACACAATTCAGTTGTTCTTCCATTGTCTGATACAGTATTCTCATGAAGCGGTTGTACAGTTTGCATTTAAATACTTACAGCCCATCTAATTTTGTCTTGAGCAGCTTCTAATGTTTACATATATATATATTTTTTTTTATTATATTCAAGGCTTCACTGACTACTAAGCATGTGCTCTACCAAACAGCAGAACCTTCAAACACCATTTAAATATGTTTTAATCTCTCTTAGTAACACTCTTGAAAAAGTGCTCAAAATTGAAAATAGCAAGTAAGATACCAGCCAAATTGGATGCCATTTAACTGACTTTTAACTACTAAGCTCTTAGAACATGTTAGTTTCTCCTGCCTTGTCTTCTTAACTACTTCTTTTGAGCAAATATTTGTGTACCTTAATATTCTATCCCCACAAGAAGATCCTGAGTAGAAATTGAAAGCAAATCTCAAAGTTATAAATTTATTAAAACCTGTAGAAAAGTTAGGCATAATGGAGCACACCTGTAATACCAGAGCTTGAGAAGATGAGGCAGGAAATTACTTAACCCCTTTCAAAGTACATACAAAGTGTCTGACAAAGACCAATTTTATTTATTTATTTAGCCAGTCCTGGGGCTTGAACTCAGGGCCTGGGCACCGTCCCTGAGCTTCTTTTGCTCAAGGCTAGCACTGTACCACTTGAGCCACAGTGCCACTTCCAGCTTTTTGTGGTTAATTTGGAGATGAGTGTCATAGGCTTTCCTGCCTGAGCTGGCTTCAAACTGGGTTCCTCAGATCTTAGTATCCTGAGTAGCTAGGACTATGGGCGTGAGCCACCAGCATCGGGCTGATGGTTTGTTTTTATAAATATACATTTTTTTTGTTGTTGGTCATGGGGCTCAACTCTGGGCCTGGGCGTTTCCCTCAGCTCCTCAGCTCAAGGCGAGTGTTCTACCACTGAGCCACAGTGCCACTTCTGGTTTTCTGGAGATAAGAGTCTCACGGACGATTTTCTGCCTGGGCTGGCTTTGAACCATGATCCTCAGATCTCAGCCTCCTGAGTTGCTAGGATTAGGGCATGAGCCACTGATGCCCGGCTCTCTTAGTTTGTTTTTGTTTTAAGTTATTTAGGCCAAACAGTGAGGATTAACTAGATTAAGGAAATATTTCTTAGAACTAACAGTGAGGTTTTCTGGAAAAATAAACATTCTAAATGTTAGGATGAGAATTTAAAGTAGTCTTCGCAGCACTCTAGATTTGCTGAAAACTGCATTTTTACTATGTTTGTATTCAATTATGCATTCAGAAATTACCATATCATGATGTGTAAAATCAACAGGAAATAAATTATAACTTCTATCTGTAAAATAATTATCTTGCTATCTCAACTTGCTTCCTTTCCTCCGTTTTTCCTAGTTATTAAATCGTCTTAAAATAACTGCCATGTTATGGGCTGGGAAGGTGGCTCAGTGGTAGAGCACTTGCCTTGCATGCCTGAGGCCCTGGGTTCGATTCCTCAACACCACATAAGCAAAAAGAAAAAAGCCGGAAGTGGTGCTGTGGCTCAAGTGGTAGAGCGCTAGCCTTGAACTGAAGAGCTGAGGGACAGCGCCCAGGCCAGAGTTCAGGCCCCACGACCGGACCCAAAAAAAAAATAAAAAATAACTGCCATATTAGTTTTCTTTCCTTTCCCATCATTTCATATCAGAAAAACTATTTTTCAGTTTTATTAGCACATTATTAATCACATTTTGTACATCTCTGTGTCAAAAACTGACAACAATGATGGTACAATTCAAGACTCTTGGAATGCAAAATGTACTTCCTAAGTAGAGGCAAACCCTATTCTTTATAATCATTGGCACTTAACTTATCAGTTTGATATTCTCACTTAAGTTGCACTGAAAATATTCCAATAAACTAAACAAACTTCAATTTGTAGCTTATTACTGTTGTTTTTTTTCTCTCTTTTGCTGTAGCTTGTGTACAATGGATATAGCAAAGAAACCCTGAGACAGAGAGAACTTCAACTAAGTGTGCTCAGCTCAGAATCTCTACGGGAGAATTTTTTCTTAGGTGGAATAACTCTGCCTTTGAAAGATTTCAACTTGAGCAAAGAGACAGTTAAGTGGTATCACCTGACTGCAGCTACATATCTGTAAACTAAAGAATTTCTGAGTTTTGGAAGCAAGAAGTTACAAATGGGTGTGTACATGAGTACATACACTGAGCTTTGTATATTTTTATACATGGGTAGAAATTATAAATATATTTGCTGCATTTGAGCACATCTGTTGGACCAACAGTCACATAACTACTTTTATAAATTTTGGGACGCTCTTGGCTGTTTTAAAGTCGTTATATTTAATGCTATAAATCCTAAACAAATCCTGAGAAATGACTTTGAGATAGTACAGTCAGTTTGGCCACCTATTTTGTATTGTTTCCTATACAGAACAGCGTTCTTGTTTCCTGTTATGCACCTTTACAGCCTTTACCACTGCGTATGTTCACAAGCACCAAAGTAAAGATGCAGAATGTTTCCACAAAATACAGCTGCTATTCACAGGGCTGAAAAGCAAAGCACAAATAGTATATAGCTATGTAAAGAACTGCTAAATAGTTTCATAAAGGTAAGGAAAAAACAATAGTTTTTTACTCATTGTTAGAGCCTTTATCAGAATAAGTGCCAATCACTGAAGTTGTAAATAATGGTGCCTTACTTAACTTTATATGCTTCCTTGGCACTTTTCTGATTGTTTTCTGGATTTGATAAGCAAGTAATTTTCACTCACTTTCAGCTAGGACAAAAAGTTATGTATATACTCGTATTTTTCCCACAAAAATCATTTCCTATACTTCTGAATCTGACTTATAGTTACTGTAACTGTCAAGCTATTTAGTTTTGTTGCCCAGTAACTAAGAGATTTGTTGACAAAGTTGTTCTCTAAATAATTCTATCATTCCATCATAACCCTACATTAATTCCTGGGGGTATAAACTGAAGTTGGGTAATTTCACTGTTATATTTTATTTTATTCCCACTTTCTCCTCCTCCCCCCCCCCCCCCAAATCATGGGGCTTGAACTCAGGGTCTAGGTGCTGTCCCTGAGCTTTTCTGCTCAAAGCTAGCACTCTACCACTTTGAGCCACACCACCACTTTCGTTTTCTGGTGGTTATGAGTCTCACAGACTTTTCTGCCTGTGCTGGCTTTGAACTGCAATCTTCAGATCTCAGCCTCCTTAGTAGCTAGGATTACAGGTGTGAGCCACCAGCACCTGATTTATTCCCTCCTTAAGCAGGTGAAAATTATTCACCACTGTGCCCATTCCTATTTGTGGTGAGAACTCCCTGAGAAAGGCAGACTTTTAACAAGAGGCTCAAGACAAAGGTCCAGGCTGATTTGTGTGTGTGTGTGTGTGTGTGTGTGTGTGTGTGTGTGTGTGTGCACATGTGTGTGTGTGCGCGCATGCCAGTCTTGGGGCTTGAACTCAGGGCCTGGGTGCTGTCCCTAAGCTTCTTTGGCTCAAGGTTAGTGCTCTACCACTTGAGCCACAGAGCCACTTCCAGCCTTTTCTGAGTAGTTTTTGGAGCTAAGAGCTTCATGGACTTTTCTGCCCCGGCTGGCTTGGAACAGAGATCCTCAGATCTCAGCCTTCTGAGTAGCTAGGATTGCAGGCATGAGCCACCCAGCACCTGACCAGACTGAATTTTGATAGAGACTTTAATGGAAGTTGTCTTGTAAACTGTCTTCCCTTTGTAAACATTGTACACTCATACAGAAGTGTTTTCTATAACACAGTGAGGTTCAGAACAAGGGAGATGTTTAAAATTATTATGCAATAACCATTAAGGATAAGATTCCTTTATTAGTTACTCTTTCAACTTCAGACATAATATTTGTTCAGTTTAAATAAACATATATGAATAATGTCACTGTTAGAATAGAAATTCAGATATTTTAAATAATAGAGAAGTAGTAGTTTATTTAATGAAGTATTTAATGAAGAGAACCAATAGAAAGGACAATCTCCAGTTCATTTGCCCAGAATAGAATATAAACTGCAAAAAATTAACAAAAATAATACTTGCAAAGAAATAACATAGTTGAAATTTATCAGCAGAATAAATTTAAAAACTTGAAATTTTTGGTGCCTAACACTAATGGTCCATTTGTAAGAAAACTCATGAGTATGATACATGAATGTCTTTTTTAATGTTAAAATGTTTTCTATTTAATAAGTTAATTAAAATGCAGATCAAAGCACCACTGTTGGCTTTTTCCACATACACTTTTTTCCTTAAAGTATGTAAGTAGCTTTGTAAATATAAAATAGCTCCAGAAGTTTTCACTTAAGCTTTTGAAACCTAATCCATTCCATGAATTGTCAACCACCGTTTTTTTCTTTTTCTTTTTCTTTTTTTTTAAAGCTGTCTTCATGGAAGATAATTGTTAATTGGATCAACCTGGACTGGTTTCTTGCAGTCTGCTTTTAGCATAAATAATATAGAACTAGAAAATGTGATGTCATTTTTCAAATATAAGAAATCTGGATTCATACCTAAAAGTATATATAACGATTAAATTATACAGTTAACAAGTTCAGAACAAGAAGTTATTTTCTTTTTTTGTTTTGTTTTTTGGTTTTCCCCGTGCTGGGGCCTGACCAAGGCCTGGGCACTGTCCTTGAGCTTCTTGGTTTTTTTTGTTTGTTTGTTTTGGTCAGTTGTGGGGCTTGAACTTTAGGTATGGGTGCTGTCCCTGAGTTCTTCAGCTCAAGGGTACCGCTCTACCACTAGAGTCACAGTGCCGCTTCTGGCTTTTTCTTTTTATGTCGTACAGAGGAATTGAACCAAGGACTTTATGCATGCTAGGCAAGCACTGTACCACCACACCACATTCCCAGCCAAAAAGTTATAACTAATTCTGTGCCTTTTTCTGGCCATTAGAATATATGCTATTTCTTTGTGAAATACTAAGTTTCAGCCCATACCAAAAACAAAAACAAACAAAAAAAACAGCAACAGAAGAGGGCTGCCTCTTCCTACTACTTCTGGACTACTGCCACTGTCTAGCAGTTCTAAAGCCGTTGTACTTAGGAACCCTTCCTTAAAGTATTTTGAGAAAAGTCTGAAACAACTGACCAAGACACTAATTTTTTTTAATGTAAAATCAAAGTATTTTATTACCTACCTTTTTGAGTAAAGTAATTCTGCTACAGTTGTATACCAGAATTCTTTGCTTTTGGAATTTGAAGGTAATGTTTTTCACGCTCAAACCTATTGTTTTCTCTTTTGAGGAACTCAATGTAGAAATGGCACTGATGTTTCTATTACTGCCTGTATGTGAATCTGTAGTTACCTAAATGGTAAGGCATGTATATTTGATAAAGTACTCCTTTATTCAAATTGAACTTGCATAAAAGCTCTAAAATCTTGCCTTAAGTTGTTTAACTGTTCTTTTTAGGATTCGAGTATTGTGGCATTTAAAAAACTCACTTTTGATAAACTTTGCATCAAAAGACTGAAGCCCTCCTATCATAATCCATAGATATCACTTCCATACTGTTCAATGGCAGTGCAGATATGAACATGAGGATTAGTCTCATCTATAAGAACCAAATGCTTTAATTGTTTTAGGATACTGAAAAGATGTATAATATTTTATTAATAATTTGAATATATTCAGTGGATTGAATGTGACTTCATAACTGTACTACGATTGTATTAAAGTATTTCTGGAATAAAGGACCTCTTGTCATTTTTTCACCTTGTTGATATATTTTAAACTTTGCTATGAGCTCACTAATTCTGTTCTTTGCATCTCACTCAGGAGTTTACTAACTTCAGAAATCCTGCATTTCAGAATGGCCTTATCAGTTTCCTCTCAAAAACATCTTGAAGTAGAGAGTCTCTACTACCACTCTTTTTTAGTCCCATCAGGGTTTGTTGTTGTTGTTTGTCGGTCGTGGGAACTGAACTCTGGGCCTGGACGCTGTCCCTTAGCTCTTCAGCTCAAGGTTAGTGCTCTACCACTAGAGTCACCTTCTTAGCCCCCCCCATCACGGTTTATTAGATGTGAAATGGCTGTGAGTATGGTTCCTGGCCTTCAGTAGTTTATTTAGATACTAAGTAGCATAGCCACAGTCATCTTATAGACTATTTGACAGACTGAAAAAATTATGAATTTCTATAATATTGAACCTTCATCCTGGAATAGTCATTAGTCTATGGTTCTTTGACTTTAAGATAACATGTAAAAGGGTTGAGAAACCTGAAAGCAATTGGGCCAATTGTGTAAGAAAGGAGAGGGGCTTTATTTCACCTTTTTTAAAGTTTATTCATGCATATTTTATTAAATATTTGCAGTAGACAATATCATACTAAGTTTTCTAAGTGAAACATCACGCAGTTTCAAATACCAGTCACATTACCCATTGCTTTTAGAAGTTTCATAATGTATGACAGACATGATCTCTCTGACATTTCTCCCGCCTCTCCCTTCCTCCCTCCTCTCCTCTATACTACAAATAAAAAATAACTCAAGCCTAGCTACTCAGGAAGTTGAGATCTGAGGATCAAGGTTCAAAGCCAGCCCAGGCAGAAAAGTCTATGGGACTCTTATCTCCAATTAAGCAACAAAAACGCCAGAAATGGAGCTGTGGTTCAAGTGGTAGCATGCTAACCTTGAGCCTTGGGACAGTGCCCAAGCCCTGAGTTCAAGCCCAGGACTGGAACCAAAAAAATAAGCAGAAAGGCTAAAAACTAGTCAAAGACTTAACCTTAAGGCTAAAACTAGCTGGATACAATGCTATATGCCTGTAAGATAAGCATTCAGGAGGTGAGAACAGGATTGTGAGTCTGAGACCTGAGTTTCACTGTATGTTTCATACAGTGCAACTCTCAAAAACAACAAAAAGTTAGGGCTGAGCACAGGCCTCTAATCCTGATTATGCAGGAGGCTGACATCTGAGGATTGTGGTTCAAAGCCAGCCCAGGCAGGCAAATCCAGGAGATTGTGTGTCTGTGTGTGCATGTATGGGTCAGTCTTGGCATTTCAACTCAGAGCCTAGGAGCTCTCCCTGAGCTGCTTTTGTTGAAGACTATCACTGTACATTTGAACCACAACTCTACTTTAGCATTTTTGGTAGTCCACTGTAGCTAAGAGCCTTTTGTGGGTGTGAATGTGGCTTAGCGGTAGAGTGCCTGCTAGCCTGCATGAAGCCCTAGGTTTGACTCTTCAGTACCACATAAACAGAAAAAGCCAGAAGTGGCCTTGTGGCTCAAGTGGTAGAACACTAGCCTTGAGCAAAACAAGTTCAGGGTCAGTGCCCAGGCCCTAAGATAGGACTCTAGTGGTAATGCCAGCACTGAGCAGAAAAAGCCAGGAGAGATGGCAAGGTCCTGGTTTCAAACCCCAGTAGCAGCACAAAAGGGGAGGGATGGGGGGGGTGGAGGGAAAGGTGTTCTTGGCTCACCTCTACAATCCTGGCTATTTAGAAGGTTGAGATTTTAAAATGTTTATAGCCAGCCCACCCAGAAAAATCTGGGACCCAGTTCCAATTAACCAACAAAATGCTGGAATTGGAGGCATGGTTCACGGGGCAGAGCTAGGAGCAAGGCTCACAAACCCCAGTATCAGGAGACCCTATCACAAAGAAGTTTTAAAGGTAACAAATAAACTCTGTCAGGATAGTTATAATTCTGTCTGATTATTTGATTCAATAGGTCTACATCCTTGCATCAGTTGTGTTGTAAACGTTGCTCAAGACAACTAGTAAATCAGAATTGGGAATAAATAATTCTTGCCATGCTGGTGGGTTTCAAAGGTTTCTAAGGAGCTGGGAGTGTAACTTGGCACAGTAAGCCTTTACAAATGGTGGCTAAGATTCCAGGGTAACAACAGAAATGAAGTCTGTTGGGCTGGGAATGTGGCTTAGTGGTAGTGTGCTTGCCTAGCATGCATGAAACCCTAGGTTCGATTCCTCAGTACCACAAGCAGAAAAATCAGAAGTGGGGCTGTGGCATCAAGTGGTAGTGTGTTAGCCTTGAGCAGAAGCAGCTCGGGGACAGTGCCCAGGACCTGAGTTCAG